GATAAACAATGGACCAGCATCCATCGGAAAGGTGGAGCAATATTCGCAGTTGTCATGTCAACAGAATTGCAGTGTAAAATATGGCAGGTTGATCAGCAACCAAAAGCGTGTTTATGGTATGTACCTTTCATTAGCAGTTTACAATTTCACCCCCAAAAGAGTTTAATCTCCTAACTGAAACTCTTACATTTATTTACTGGCCAGAATTGAGTGACTGATCCATAAAATTTCCTCTAAGAGATTATTTCATGTTTTCTCATCATCTTTCGCTAGAAAGAATATAGAGACTGTAAGGAAAGTTTCCTCTCCAATCACTTATTAGAGTCGCAGGGTTAATTCAACGTTATAATTCATTCAGGCTACAAGGTTGAAACGGTTAATCAACTCAGAACAAGAAACTGAAATTTTTTCACGTACGTATTCAGTCTAAAATTCAATTCCAGTAGTTACCTCTTCCGCGTTTTTGTCAAGCCCTTCGAATTTCTTTTGTTTCTCTTTCAAGTCCACCTCAACTCTCCTACCGAGTGAAATCGGTGGTGGTGACGTAAGACCGCGGTCCGAAGAACCACTCGACCGACGGCGAGATCTTTCTTGATTTGAGTCCTGGTATTTATTCAAAAAATGGACAAAATTCAGATAAAACGCTTCATTCAAATCAGACTCTCGATGAATTAAGTATACGCCGTTTCTGTGGTATCAATTACTGGCCGACTTTGGTTAATATTGGCCATAATTATAAATATACTTATAAGTTATGATTGTATATTTTACAAAATCATTATGACCAGGTGATCTTCCATGAAATCTCAGTACTGACAATAACCTACAATCAACGTAGTGGGGGAGGGAAGGGGAGGGTGGTAAAAGTCAGGAAAGTCAAAATGGGCTTACAGCAGTTCTGATCCCTGATTGGTGGGAGAAGGTGGCAGGCAGAGAAAAAATGACCTCGGCTCCGATAATGACCTTGACATGAAGACTTTTATGGAAAGCATTGCTAGTTTCTATTCAAAATGTGTACCGCATTGTGATTGTCAAGTCATTTATACTCACAAGTTGATCACGGTGGTCGTACATGTCTTTTTTCTCGTGAAATTTTGGATCCGGCATTCTTTTCCGAAGATAATTATTGTCTGTGTAGCTGTGTATTAAATCCTCCTCGTTCCAACTTAAACTTTTTTCTCTACTTCTTTTCAAAATTCCTCCAGTTGATTTACGTCTGTTTAATTCCAAATGCACGATGTTCTGTGTAAAGATGACAAGTAAAGAGGGAGATTAGAACTCATGTCTAAAGCAAATATTGGCTTGCCTCAAGATCCACCACCTCTCTGTAGCTCACTGACTGCGTACCAAACAGGTGGTTTGATTGCGCGGCGCGAAAGGAATCGCGCGAGAACCTTCCCTCGTGGAAGCTAGACATCTAAATCCCCTCCTCCTCCTCCTCGAGACCTCCCCCCGCCAAACTTGTTTTTTAGCACTTATCCCAGGCCTTTCAACCTGGCTTTCATGAGACAAGCAAAATACGCAGTCTGATTTTTGTGGTTTAGAGTACTTGTAAACTACTGTGATTATCAACTGAAGCCAAGAAATTGGATGCTTACCTGCTTGGCTTGGTTTTCAAGATTCCGAAATTTCTCCTTCTTGTCACTGATGTCAATCCTATCAAACACTTTGTCTCGCGTTTCTAGTTCACTTAAAGAATGTCTCTTTCGTGACCCTCGCCTCTTTTTGCCGAAATTCGTTTGCTGCAAAGAAAATTCGCAAGTAAGTCTGGTTTATTGAAAGAATACCACTCTCTCTTTCGGTAGTAGTTTCCTCTTTACTTTTTCATGCAGGTTAGACAAACATCACTTGATAGACTATTTTTCGCTACGTAAAATCACCCACAACTTTCCTATCACGCAATTGATTCACTTCCATTTTTGGCTGAAGAAATATTCGGAGTGCAACAAAGACATTCATAGGACTAAGATTAGTTTGATGGAACAGGGTAATAATTATTGGAAGTAACTGATTGCATGGAAGCAGCATCAAAAATTTATTTCTTCAAGTAGATGGAGAACATGCCTTGTTATCGCGTGACAAAATACTGTTAATCACGAGTCATACAAAACTCGTGATATAAGATTAATTGTTTTGAAAGCATCCTGGATGCTTTGCTACGATATTATTATTTTCCTTTTACCAAAATATATTTTATGGTTTATGATTTAAATGAAATGGTAAAATGAACAGCCTCGAGCTTTTTGTTACCGGAATTAGATGATCAAAGCAGCTGTAGTCAAGAGCAGGACCCTGATAACCTCGATTGTGAGCTGCTTTGGCTAACCAAAGTATTGTGATCGTAACCTGCAAAACATGCAATAAAATAACGTCATGTGAAAGCTGTTCTGTCTCTTTGCGTGAAAAAAAAACCAGTTATGGATAACATTAGGTTATGGCGTCAACCATAATGTTAAGGCTGCGGTTTCATTCGCGCAAATATTCTTTCATTTGAGGTGGAGATCTCAACTACTTTTATATTCACCTAAAAAGTAAGTAACAATTCATCTGTAATTGTTACCTGTGTCGCGTCAACTTCTTCGCATTTGTGTCGTCATCTCTTAGTTTTGTTTGATTTTGTACTGCGCAGTTATATTCACATCCCGATGGTAAAATGTAGGATATTGAGCCCGCGGTTCCGCTTGGTTGCCTCGGCGTCAGAGGAATTTAAATTTCATTCCCGCGCACTTGATAAACAAGGAACAATTCAAAATGGCGATCAATTGACCCCCGCAGCAGGGTAAAGCGCCCAGCTTACTCTCTTGAAAATTCTTTTTGATAAAAATAAATCGTGCTTTTAAAAACCATCGATTTCGAATAAATCCGTACAGATAAATTGCATTTTGATGAAACATAATGAAATCAATCGGGTATGTGTTATTTACGTACCGTTTGGTCGAGAAAAATAAATTACCGTCGTTGACGGTTGGCGAAATCTACGATTACTAAATTCTTTATGAAGTCAAGGGAATAAGTGTTGTAAAATGAAAACACAACGTCTTATAAGGGTGGTTATGACAAAATATCTAAGAAAATACAGTTGCTCCTTGTTATGACTGTTTTCGAGTCACCAAGGCGATTCAGACGACCGCCAGACTCATAACATATGATCTTTACAGTTTTGGTTCGTAAACCAAACCCTATCACCGTTACGGAGCAAAACCAAATTATTTCTTAAACAGTCGATCGAAACCCAGGTGTTTTTGTGCTAACGAGGTACGGGGACATCCAGAAGGTGTACAGAGCTTGAGATTTAACCACGTTACCCAGACGTATATTTTGATTTCTGCTTGAAGATTACGAATCTATTCCAGGGATAAAAAGATTATTATAACGATTTTGAATAGATTGTTGTTAATACTTACATTCTGTAGCCTCCGTTGTGTTTCCTTTAATCTCGATGACCTGAAATTCGAAAGAAATGAATCCTTATCAGCGTAAGGGATATGTTTTCGACCGGAATCGAGTCACAAGTCGAATCGAACAACTAATCAAAATGCGTCGCGCGATCTCTTGTTCAATTCGCATGTCATTGTGACAAGTCACAGACAGCGACGCAATAAATACAAACACGAATTCGAATGAAGTTAAATACAAGTAAAATACATTCATTATACCTACGGTTTTAACGGACTGAGAGCAATATGGAAAACATGAGAGTCAAACACTCAAGTACAAGCTTCTGTATAAGTCCCAGAGGAAAACACAGCGCAGCGGAATATCAAAAGATTTCAAACCCAATACAACTCTAACAACAATACCTAGAACAATCTTTGCATTCCACAATGAGCAAAGACAAAACGTTCCGCGGTGAATAGGATTATTTTTGAGCATTCAGTAACCCAAATAAATTGCGCAAGTAACACAAGCGACTTCCGTTGAGATTCGAGATTTATTTTTCTTGCTTTCTACCGAAAATAATGAAAATCCTGTGAACTCATCAGTATGTTAATCTTAAAATTGTCGAAGAGAAAATTAATTATGCTTTGTACTTCGTAAGTCGTTTGATTTCAAATTAAGTCGATAAAATGCTGCGTGACATGAAACACAATCGACTTTTCGCTATGGTGTAAGGAATTTGAAATTTTCCAAATTTGTTCGGATTTTGGACCTGCCTACATTTACGTCATTTTAAAATGATGTCCTTATTAATTCGAATCAGTGTCTTTTCAAAGTGGCTATTATTTCAGAGGCAACCTCAGAGGTAAGCGTTTCATTTAATCTTGTTTCATACGATATCAACCAGGACCCTTTAAAGTTCCGCGATAACTACCTCGTTCTATAGAAAAGATCGTCGGTCTTTTAGCCTTTTTGTGACATCTCCGGAGACAAACATAATAAAAAGAACGCGGAACAAAGAGCCCCGATGCACGTGCAAACGCAAATCGTATATCCTCAAGTGAAGAGGGTATATGATCGCGGTATGTAAAAAAACGTGCTATATATATATGTAAGTAGAATACCGGCTTACCCGAATTGGCTCATCAGCAACCGTTCGGTAACTGGATGTTGTATTTAAAAAAAATTGCTTTCGAAAAGAATCCAAAAATAAATTGGTGAAAACGAAAGAGCGAAGGGAAATTGGTCCCACCGCCCAATCGACCCGTTAGCCGGCTACTCTGCCACTTTTTACCATCTCTTGTTGATCGAGGCCCATTCAGGAGCCTGTCCCCAGCCAAAATCAGAAGAGCCAATGGTTCATTGTGAGAAATATTCTTACGGTGTCATACTTGTCGACCGAAAAATGGACAGTTTGTATTCTTCTTTTTCTAAAATCACTGCTCTTCGCAAGTGCGAAAGTTAAGACCTCCACAGAATTACCGGCTGTATATAATCAGTTCTTTTATTATTAAGTTAGACCTACTTAAAAATTGTTAGTCTTGAAATTATCAACATTAAAAAAAAACGTGTTTACAAATCAGTCTTCAAGCTTGCATTGTGTCTGATGTAAAAGTTTAATGATCTTTACTTACGTTGAATCACCGCGTCGGATCGTCACTTCGTGAAGATCAGTGACGTCAAAAAGATGAAGCCTTTGCAATCCCAGTCTTTCGCAGGCTTTGAAAAATAAGTTGATATTGTCCTGTTGTATTGAAGATATGAAAAAAATATTATTGAAGACATGGGAAAATTAGTAGCACATCATTAAGGTTCTAAGAACTCGCTGCTTAGTTGCTCTTATGCACCAACGTGAAAAATACAAGCCTGTTTGTATTCTAATGAAGGAAATAGGAAACAAAATAAGAAACTAAATGAGGCATATGTGCAAAATTTAGAAAAAAAATGGCATTGATTCACTTAATCACTGGTTGGCGTTTCTGATGCATGCGACGACATGCTTTGAATGTTTATCAGCTATGAAACATCTCCCTAAATAAGAACATTTGTAAGTTGTTGACCACCATCCATCAGTGTTTGTATAAGTTACTGGAACCAGCCTGATCTAAGTTTTAAGCAATTCAACTCTGTTATCAGGAAGTCTTCATGATTATCTCAGGCGGGCTTCAATCTTCCGCACAAACATAAGAGGGAGGGGGGGGTGGGGGGGTTTAACCACTTCAATCCACTACTTACAATTCCAGCGTACGCAATCGGTAGACGGTTTATTCGACCAAGTGAGATACCTCCAACAATTTCGACTAATCTGGAAATGCAAGGAAAATTTTTAACTTTCTAATTATACTATGCGCAAATCTTGTAAAACGTAAAATATGGCTATAAAATAAATAAGAATCATAGTTACAATATTTGATATATCAGTTTGTGACCTCGTGTATCAGTCTAAAACATTCAACTGAGCATCGTATGTAAATGAGCACTCAGGGAAAACTTGTCACGTGACATACTGGTACGCCGAAACACAATTTTTGGATATTTATTGCTGCTTGTATAATGTGATCAAGGCCTTGTAATGAGTTTTTTCCGATCATAATCGATGTTTTCCTCACAGTAAGATAACAATAACGAAATTGTTAGAGTGGAAATCTAGGGAGGTCAATATAATTATACGATTGTATTGCCAAAAAAGCAGGACTTTCCTTCGCACATTTGTAACATTCATAATGATGCTCTAAGGCCAATGAGGAGAAATGGCGAGGTAGTAACACATATTCAGAGTATATCAAGCACGCAGTTCAAATAGGTTTAGCTAATGAATGTAAATTACATCAGATACAGTCTCGCCAGACTAGGTCAAGACTGGCATATAATTACCAATGAAAGAATCAGTTGTTTCGTTGGTCCATGCATCACATATTTCATAGCTGCCGGCTTACGCTAAAATGTTTTGGAAGCACGCTATTCATGTAGCAGTTCTTCATTTCAAATTCGAAAACAGACAAACTTCACCCAGTAACATGCTACGTGGCGCCCGGCAGGTGGCCTCATGAAAATTTCAGTTTAATTAAGTTTTTTCCTATTTTGATTTTGCAGCATTGACGTTTTGCCTTTTACTGCAGAAGCCAGTTTGCTTTCTCCTCTTCAGAACGTGACGTTAAGCTTCTTGTCGTTCAAATGGTCGAATCGCGTTAATAAACACATCTTGGTTAATAAAGTAGTTATTTCAAGCACATTAAAAGACGATCAATCGATGGTTTTACATGTCACAAATATCAAACGGAGACAAATTCAAAACAGCTATTCCTCAGATATCTCAAAATAATAATAACTTACGCGATACGAACACCTTCTAAGTTATCCCATGAAATTATAGAGTCAAGTTTTCTCAAGTTAAAACAATAGTTAAAATGATACAGAAAAAAAACCAGCAATAGTCGTAGGATTACATAAATTTTGACGTTTTTACAAAAATCTAACATTCGTAAACAAACTCAGTGCTTTATGTACTCACTCGCAGAGAAGAATGCCATCAGCGAGGGATTCTCGAAAATTGTGACTTTTAAATTCCTTTCTGGTCACCTCCTGAAAAATTAAGTAAGTAATGGCTTGATCGGAGCCCAATCAATGACGGATAAAATGTATTTGTGCGAACAACAAAATGCAAATCCTTCATCTGGTTCTGAAGTGAAGAAAGCTTACCTCTATCCATCTTCTCGACTCAATAAGTGCAGGATCTGAATTTATGTAGATGTTGAACTGCTCTCGTTGCTCTCGAGTGCTGAGTCTCCTTTTACCTTTCTGTCTTGACTCGGAGGACGAAGCCATCGCCGGCAACAGGCGCGAAACAAGCCCTGGGTTAGTGACTGCTCGATAAGTTGCGGGCTTTCTTATGCAAATATCCTAAAGTGATATAGATAACAAACGTGCATTCGTCTGAATAAAATCAAAGTCCTTGATATGGCTCGAACAGCTCTTTGGTTCAAAGTATCATGAAAATTTTAGTGCTGAAATGCTCGATGGATTTAGAGAGATTTTCAAACTTTCCTTTAATTTTCACGGAAAGACAAACAGATACGCAAAGAGCATTTCTAATTTCATGTAAATATGGCATTATTTCATATGTAGAATAAAATCCTTTCACACAATGAATCAACTTTTGCAGTAATTACTCACGCCCAAGTGATTTTTATTAATACCTTTAATTATTTAAAAATTTGAAAAATCAACTCTAGCGTCTGGTAGTTTTTTAACGTCTTGAAAAGATAATCAGATTAATATCTTTAAACAGGCAAACAAACTGTAATAAACCAACTTCCGAATGTTTATCAACCTATAATTGTCACTAAAGTGTTGACATCCGTCATAAGTTCCGACAACAATTTATTCGCGTTCGATCGCGTGCCATGTTTCAAGTCACGCCAATAATTTTCATAATGGATTAAAACAGCCAGACTCGAATAAAATCTCCCAGACTGAGCACAATCAATAACAGTAACGGCAATACCCTAAGGATGAACCGAGACTCGTCACAATAAAATGAGATGTAAAACTGACTGAGAAGGGACAAGTGAAGAACCACTCCGCGGATGTGTTCTGGATATCACTTCAGCACGGCGACCAGTCAACCACTTCTTTAAAGAACAAAGGCCTATTCAGTTGTAACAAGAAAAGCTTGTCTGCATAAATCTTTAGATTTTTTTTCTTGAGAATAAAAATATTTAGAAGTCTTCTCTATCTCTGTGGGACTGTGGTAGTCGAAGTTAATTTTCTTTTAAGACCGCAAGAAAGAATATGGAAGCTACACGATCAGTTTTGCACGTGCTTACCAATAGCGCCTCACAGTTTGCCGGTTGATTCTCGAGATTGAGGGAGAATTCGCTCGCCCAAAATACGAATCAAAAGGAGTATTTTAAAAGGAACAAACATAAACAGTGGCCCGGGAAAAAATTCTTCTTACAGGCTGGAATTTTTTTTCCTCGGAAAATCTCTGCGGGACATTGTGACAACAATAAACATGATCACACATCGTATTCATCTTGGCTCACAACGCCTTCGATATATTTTATCACTAAGCTTAAGAGAAATCTTCAGAAACAGAAACCCTCCACCAGATCTGAGAAAACGTCTCGAGTCATTTGTTACTGGCGTCTTTTCTTTGTCTGTTTTGTATCGCAGTCTGTTGTCATAACAGGGAACATTTCAAATTTGTCTGGTGGACTGATTACCAAGTGTCTACCTGAATTACCCTACATTTAAGAATGACGACGATTTCTTTTATGTAAGACTTGAAAATAATATCGGCTTGAATAAAAATTTTCGCGTTCAGATATAAAAGCTGTTTTAGGAATGGGTCTGAATTTATTCCAAATTCCACTTGTGATGTCATCTGGACGACACAAGTTCGAAATGAAAGGTGGCTTTGTTTGAAATCACCTTGACTCCCAGACCTAACTTGGACACTTCTCCAGAACAACGTCTATGATGCCCTTTCGCCCCTCCTCCCCATCCAATGTTGTTTAACTGCGAATGTTTCTATGCCATGTTGCAGACCAATGTTAAGGGGGGGCCGCGGAGACGGGATGTCCCAGCAAATGAATCTAGTTGTGCAGTTTCCGACAGCGTGGGATCCCTGCAACAATCTCGAACAAAATTTATTGAATCTCGCACTTCCAACACTTATAACGACACGCTTTTAATACTCACAACTTCTAGACAACTTAAATATGCTTTCACTTCTCGATTTCACCTTCAGAGGACGTTGTGCACTTGATTGTACCATGTAGCAAAGGTTAGAGAATTCTTCCACTTTTGTTGCAAAGTATTAGATATTTTTGTCTGCGACTCAATCAAAGACTTTTCTCTGATCCTTCCATTTTATTGTGGTAGCTTACAAACCTAGATAAAGCCTTACTAGCTTTGGTGAAACAATGCCGTCCACCGCTAACCAGGTCTTACAAGCGCGTAGGGAACGCAGAGCCTTCTCGAGACTATTCGCAAAGCAAACAGAATAAGATTATTGGACAATTTGGTTATCAGGATTTTAAATGTGGGAAGGAAATTCCGCCCTGCCTCTTACTACAACCAGGGGAATGCGCTCCAGATCTCAGTCGTAAGTTCATATGCAATATCGTCAGTTAACTACTAAATGTACATGCAATTTCAAGTTCGTCTCACTCTCTTCCGTTAGTGTCTGCGCAGTTTGTTTTATGAAGCAACAGGTCAAATGTATCTGTTACCTCTTGTGACCAGAATGATATGTTTGCGAACCTCACGAGTTCTATAGCTATGAAATTCTAATTAATTTTACATCAGGAGAGGTAATATACCGCTGATCTTCGCATCATAGAAAAGTGAAGCGTCCAAGTTTGAAAAAGTGCCGTTACCAATTAGATGTATCGTGTTGCAAGCCATTTACAAGTATTTCAGCTTTTCCGAGACAGTAATCAAACACATTCATGCTATTTGTGAAAAAAGCGTAGAAAAAAATATCCTGAGTCTGTCTTCTTGATGGGTCTTGATCACCTGAATGCGCACTGAAGTTGATCATGAAAACATTGTTTACTTAAGCGCTCACCACAAATTATCTCAGCACTGTCTGTGTACTATTGAAAAAGTAAATGTTGTTTCTACACCATATTAAATGACAATGGCTTCGGAGAAACTAGGATTTTCGAGGCAGATTCCACATCTATCAATCTATTAGCACCGAGAATGTTGGCTAGCGTATTTACTTCACGTTTCTCTCACCTGATGTCCCCGCTTGAGTAGTCAATTTCAGATGACTGGATGTAACGTCCTCGACGAAAACATTTGCACTTTACTCGAGACATTCAGTATGAACAATAGCGTGACGATTAAAACATGATATGTTTGTAATTGAAACCAGACAGTGTGTATTGTACTTCATGTGCCAGATGACGAGACAAATGTGTAAATCGTTTAACTTTGAGTGTTCCTAGGGAGATCGTCATATATCACTCTTGAAGAGGAGAACCAACAATTCCAGAAGGAAGCTGATCTTAAAGAGTGACTCCAAACCGTCATGAAGGGAAATGTTAAAGGGCAAGTTATCAGACAGGGTGATGTGATTTTTTTTTCCCGAATAATAAATCAACCGTTTAACTGCTGATTGACGAATGTCATGGAAGATTCCCCGCGAATCCAGAGATATATACCACAGTGGCTGCTACTGTAAAGGGGTTACGAAAACTCTACTCAAAGTTCATAACGCTTGATTGAAAAAGAAAATCTACTTTGTTAACTCACTGACAGTGTTGCTCTTCTCATGTCTAGCAAGTTATGTATTTCGTCGTCTAGTACAGTTGCGATTTAATTTGCCGGTGCACCTTGCTAGTTTACAGCTACGCGCAACAAAAGAAAGTTAAAAAAACTCTTAAGATGGAGGATTTGATCTTTTTTTCAAATATCATGTCCTTCATGCTGTCAGGGGCAGGTTTTTAAGTTCTAAGTGAAAGATGCTGTCATAATTGTCCATGCCATAATTTCAGCGGCACAGTTAGTTCCGTTTTTTGTGCATTTTTCATCTGTTTTGGTTTTTGGTGTTACTTATCACTTACATGTTCGCATTTGCTTGTTATTTCTTCATCATTATCTGTAGTTTTCCCTTCGCCTCTATAAGCACCCTCAATTACTGATAGTATTAATCAAAGCGATACTATGGTGAACTTGTAGATAGCACCACACAGTAGAGATATTTCGCCATCTTTATTAAGTTGCATGCTCTGCCCAGACTCCTCAGGCTGTGCAATTGCCACAAAATTTGCATATACAACACCCACTTTAGTCTCTCCACCTGTTCATGAATAAAAGCGGTGTGAAGTTCAAATCAGAGCAATTTTCTACTCCCATTTATTTAAAATAGTTTGGATGATATTAGGATAGACAGGCAGAGATTAAACATTGATCAAGATAGAGATTGTTCTCCTCATGGTAAGAGATATTCACAATCATTAGGCTTTCCCGTTATCAAATTGTCTAATTTGCTTCTCTCATTAACATATATTTCAACATAATTAACAAGTTATAAAAAAACATTGGTTTCATTTGTACGGTATGAGTTTGCCACTTTACTTAATACCCTTATGCAAGAAAGTGTGCATCGTAAGTCACCAGAAATGTGAATGTCTTTGCAGTCCTCCCAGTCATTCTTATCAATGTCATAGATTTTCAGACACTGTTTGTTCTCCTCTCTTCCCTGTTCATTATGAAAGCATCCTAACACATATATCTTTCCTTTGAAACTCACAGCACTTGCCCGGCCCCTTGGTGCTACCACACTCGAGATTCCAGTCCATGTGTTGGAAGATGAATTGTACATTTCACACGGGTCTCCAACCGTTGAGTTTGGTTGAAGTCCTCCAAATACAAACAATTTTTGTTTCATGGCTGCTCCACCAGCATTTTGTCTACCTGTTCGAATGGAAGGACACTTTTTCCAAGTGTTAGTTCTCTGATCAAATCTTTCAACAGTTTTAAGGTAGCCATCTCCACCAATAGCATACATGTATTGTTCATCAGCCAATGCACAGAGGTTTGATCTAGGGCTACTCAGTGGAGAAATCTCCTGCCAGATATTTGTTTCAGAATTGTACCTTTGAACAGTGTTCAGTTTAAAGCCATTCTCACTCTCCCCACCGATAACAAACAAGAAACCTTGGAATGTAACTACAGCAAATCCACGAAGCACTTTTAAAGGACCCTGGACAGGATCCCATCGGTTCAGTGTTGGGTTGTAACGCTGAGCAAGTTTTATAGGGGAAGGTCTTGCACCAAAAGAAACTCTTCCCCGACGATTTCTGTTGTCTTCACCAAGAAGATACCATTTTCCATGATAAGCACTAGTGAGAACATCAAAATTTTTTAGTTTCATTTCATCAGGAAGATCAAGTTGACGCCACTCATCCAGCAAAGGGAAGTAGCCTAACAGGTGTACTTGGCCGTGCCTGTTGTTATTCTCCAGTGCAAGTGCAGCAAAAATGGCGTCTTCATGAGTTTTCAGGCAATTTCTTGGTGACCGGGAGAAGAAACATTCTCCTGTTCCATTAAAAGCCATCTTCATGGCTTCCAACACTAAAGTCGAGCACTTCGAATTTTTGTTCACAAAAGGATGAGGTAACATGACTTTAAACAGATAGTCATGTGGCACATAAACACACCGAACGTGATGTAACAAGTTGTAAAAATGTCGTTGATTCCTTCCCTTATGTGCCTCGAACCATCTAAGAATTATCTCAAAGACCCGCTCTTCGCCATCCACGATTATTTCGTCACTAGAAATCCACTCTTCCACTTGTTCAACGCTCAAATTTAGAAACCCGTCGTATTTTGTGACCGTTTCAAAGTGGGCATGAATAAAATCCTTGGCTCCTTCCCTTAATTTTTCACACCGATACTTAATGGCTGAATAATAAGCAGCGACACAGTTCAAAGCACTAAGCTTTTTTAAAATAAAAGTAGCCGAAAAATCTTTCAAGCTTGGAATCAAAAAATAGTCTCCTGCTGCCAGGAGCTCATAAGCGTTGTTTTCATTGACATCGACTTGCCCTGTGTAAACATACTCCAGTACTTCCTTCATACTTTTACTTGTCTGTTTCAATTTGATCACACCTTCTTTCTTCTCTTTCATGTCATTGTTCAAAGCGTTGTAAAAGAACGGACTTGCTGCACATAACACGATTCTGTGACACTTCAAACGAGCTTGATCATCACCTGAACCAACTTCAAGAATTACATCACAAAAATGTTCGTTTCTTCGCTGTAGATCGAGGCGTTTCATCATTTCCTCACAAAAACCTTGCTTTTCGGACACTGTGACAGGTTCTCCGAGAGAATTCATCTTAGCACTTGGCCACAAGGCTAAAATCTGGGTTAGTAGTTGGGATATTTCGTTTGAAACAGCTGGCCCTCAAGGAAGGCGATCATCAATCTCGAAGCATACAAACAGATTGCCGATAGTAATGATGGGAAGTGAAAACAATTCCCCAGTCCTTTCACGATTGGGCGCGGTTAGGGCTGATGCAGAAAAAGTGGAGTATGTCATAAGTTCAATCAAAGTAAGAAGCAAAGCAGATGTATGGATACTTGCGTCGATGATGTTTTTGTAAACCGAGAAATGGCTGGAAATGTGAATTTTGAAAGCTCTTTGAGTGGAAAATTCATTGGGTATAAACAACTTGCCGACGTACCAATATAATAGCTGTGAGGTGACGTACAGCTGAATGAGACTTTGCTTCGAATGTCTTGACGAAGCACGTACGACCTTTAAAACTGTAAAACTGTCTTCGTTGTCTATCTAAACACGGCTCCTAACATTGCTTAAATGGGAATGACTTCAACCCGTAATATTCAAAGCATGTGTCCGTTTAGTGTGGTTGTGCTTGCCATGTGCTTTTCGTTACTGCTAACAGGTGAGCTGACAAGTTTATTTCAGTTGTGAAAAAGCCTTACCTTGAGGTAGATAGTTTTTGAAGCTTTAAAAATGAGATAGTTTGAAGCTAAGAATATGTTGTGATTGTTTGACAATCCCACCGTCATTATTATTCTTCGTTTTAAACCTTGCCTGATAAGAGATGTTGGAAAGATGTCTGTAAAAACCCCATTCTTTTCCAACACAAAGTATCGCCTCCAAAAGTTAAGTATTACTTCCACCAATGTTTTCGTTTATCAAACAATTCTATGCATAGTGAAGTATGGGGTTATACGGAAATCTTGCCATACTTAACATTTTGAATATCTCTACGATGGCCACTCTTAAAATCTTGTTCAGGAATTGGAGGAAATCATTCACATACTTATAAACAACACAACGTTAATGGGCAAAGGCCACAACTTGTTTCAAGATGCTGTCATAAGTGCATGGAATTTAAAAACCATTATTGATCATTAAGAATATGACCACTCTAGATGACTGTGTGATGTATAATGATATACCTTTCCATCTTTTATGAAATGATGTGAAATGTCAAAAAATTTCCTGAGGCAAATGTCCAATGTTGAGTAACCTTTTGGCTTTTGAGTGGTACTGTGTTCAACTAAGTAAACAAAAGGTTCAAACTGAGCATGAAACTTAAAATTTTCAAAATCAAGATAATTCGTTTTCAACTTGTTAAGGGAATAGGAAAATTAAAAAAAAAAATGCAATGAAAATAGTTTCAACAGTATCCTTTAGCCCAGGTCTTTCCTTTAACTTGTAAGTTGAATAGTACATCATCTAAGGCAATGCTGGTGGGGCAGGTTGACATCTTGGGCTGGCTTCATGTCAGACTTAATTTTGGATTTTACAGTTATGTTTTCCGGTGTGATTGGGTTCTGATTTGTGGCTGGTTCATTACTTGTCTGAGGTGAGGGAGAGCTCAGAGGTGAACTAGGAATTCTCAGTAGGTTCACAGATGGCTTAGGTGTTCGCTATTACTCCTGAACTGCGTTCTCTTTTGTGTTTGGATGGAACAGGATCAAACATTCACGTGGTCACTTGTTTTTTCACAGTCCATATTTTGCAGCTCTAATTTACATGTCTTGGTTTGTGTGTACTGAATTGTCACCTTTGAAAATTGGACATGGTTACTCTGCAGTATTTCTGAAGTAGTTCTCAATCTACTCTTCCTTTCTTTCTGACTTCCTCTCTTGCAGTGGGCAGCAGGGTTTTGTTACACCTCCCAAAAATAAGTTTTTGTTGTGAAAAGAGCTTTGTTTATATCGATTTTTGTTCTTTGGGCTTTTTGGCTTATGCAAATGAAGAATTTTTTTTGCTATTGTGAAAAGCTCCTTTCTTCGTGTTTCACCTTTGACAGCTTCAAGGGAAATCTAAATTCGATTTATTTTTTTCCAATTCAGGGCAAGATTTCCCTGTAATTCTAAGGGAGTTAGGGGAAGCAAAATTTGAAGTAAAAGTGTTAGAGAAAACTTGAGTCTGAAACTTGGTGGCAAACAATTTAAACAAACTTTGAACTTAACACTTCCACATCTTGGAAATCTTTGGCAGGTCACTTGCAAAAGACTTTTTGAAAACTGCACTTCAGTGAAGGAGATATTGACAGAAAAATATTGTTTATACCATCATGTAAGGAAATCATGCAGGAAGAATTCACTCAGATATAAATAAAAAAAACAAAACAAAACAAAACACAACTTAAATAGGCAAAAGCCATAGACAAGTGCAAACTTTGAATAAGATATTGGCTTGAGATCATAGAATGTAGCAAAATTGTTTTTCTCTTGCTATTAATTCAGGGATACAGGGCATTTGCACAAGGCATGCAGTTTGTTGTGGTACTTGAAGTGACTGGGAATAATGCTAATCCTCCAGATGAGATTCCTGAACATGTTTTGAGTTTTTGGCTGCACTTGATAATTTGCACCAAGTCTTGTAAATTAATTTTGTTTTTTCTTATGCACATGTTTTTTCTTTTTTTTAACAGGCTTGCCCATCAATGCCACAAGTTGTCCTAGTTTTAAACTCGTAATCATTGAAATGATTGGTGCTACTGATCTGACAATTGATTGTAACACCACAAATCCAAATGCCAATGTAACATTGCTGTTGGACAATGTTAGATTACCTGTTGGGGGCAGAGTTACACTTCACAAGCAAGTCTTCACTATTCACAACATTTCAACAAGAGATACAGGAAGATATAAATGTGTAACCAGTAGTGGTTCAAGCATGACAGTTTTTTGCCAGACCGTAATCTACACTTCTGAAGGTATGACTCAAATTGAAATATGAATCATTCTTACTCCCATAATTCAATTAGAAATTACCTTCTCTTGAGAATTTCAAGGTGTACAGGTGTTTGAAGAATCTAACTGATATCTGGGAAGTATGAGTTTAAGCCCAATCAAAACATGAATTTTTTTTTCACCCCTGAGTTCCTGCCTATTTTAAATTTGAACTTTCATTTTATAATACATTTTTTAGATGATAATTATTTTTATGAAGGGGGAGAGGGGAAGAGGTTATGAATGCTTGTCTACCCAATTTGTAAATAATTATTATTCCAACAAGCTGTTCAAATAGTTTATGAAACATTTTTATTTTGACTTTTATGAAAGGGTGTGTCAGAGATAAAGTACAGCCATTCCTGCCAGCTAAGTAGGTAATCTGGACCTGGACAAGGAACTAACCAACTTGTACCAACAAAGATGATAAATGTGTACCAAGACAACAAAGGGATATCTTGGATGGCAGTTAATGATTGAGTGTAATATGTTTAAATTAATTTTTTGTCTCTAGAGAAACAAGCATGCTGTCCAAAAGTGACTCCTGAAGTAAAGGTTATGGAGGCTGGTATGAGCACAAATTTCACTTGCAAAGCCTATACTTTTGGTAGTCTCTCAAAGTATTTTACTTTAAAGTGGTTGAGAGAAGAGAATGGAACTAGTGTGGAAATTCGTCAAGGTGACACAATGCACAAGCAAACTGTTGTATCATATGGCCATTCTGTTCTTACAATTACAAATGCACAACTTACACCAGCAGAGGGTGTAACGTATCGCTGTCAGATAACCTACAGGGGTACAGCATCTTCCTCCCTCCCTCTACGTTTGATAGTAGTCAAAGGTGAGTTTTAATAATAATCACAAGAGATAACATAATTTCATATTCTGACATGTACATACCATAATTGTTTGATGTAGAACCCTGTTTCTATTAAGGGTCCCCTCTCTGATAATCACCCCCTTCAAATTAGTTTTTGTCAATAAGTGCCCCTATTCTAATAAGGGTAACCAGTCAACTCGCCTATGGACCAACTCGCCGACGCCAACTTGCCGACGTATAAAATCGAGTAGAGACGTCGGCGAGTTGGTCGTCAATCCAATATAACTTATTAGAAGAGAAGCTTAGATTAGAAGATTAGAACAGAAGCTTAAACATTGGTGGACATTGGTGAACATCACCAATGACTATAACAGCTTAAGACGCGAACGAGTTATTGTGCGACAACAACACCGTAAAGACTCATCATGTCAATCGCTCAGATTTTTTAACGAAAACTTGGCTTTCTAGACAAGATCTTTAGTAAAAAGCATTTCTTTTTATTTGCAACAAAGTTTATAAGGATCTCAAGGCGAATAAAGGGAAGTAAACATCACCAATGACTCTAACAGCTTCAAACGCGAATGAGTTATTGTGTGACAACAACACTAAAGACTCATCATGACAATCGGTCAGATTTTTTAAGAAAACTTGGCTTTCTAGATAAGATCTTTAGTAAAAAGCAATTCTTTTTATTTGCAACAAAGTTTATAAGGATCTCAAGGCGAATAAAGTAAAGTAAACATCGCCAATGACTTTAAAAAATCTGAGCGATTGACATGATGAGTCTTTACGGTGTTGTTGTCGCACAATAACTCGTTTGCGTCTGAAGCTGTTATAGTCATTGGTGATGTTCACCAATGTTCACCAATGTTTAAGCTTCTGATAGATGTTCACCAATGTTCACCAGTGTTTTTTTTACTAAATATCGTTTAATTTTCTGTATGTTTAACTTCTAATAAGTTGCATTGGATTGATGACCAACTTGCCGACATCTCTACTCAATTTTATACGTCAGCAAGTTGGCGTCGGTGAGTTGGTCCGTCAGCGAGTTGGCGTCGGCTAGTTGGTCCGTCGGCGAGTTGACCGTAATTCCTAATAAGTGCCCCTATTCTAATAAGTGCCCTACTGAGTAAGCATCTTCATTCCAAAAAGTGTCTATACTAACTAACAAGTGCCCCTATTCCAACAATCACCCCTGTTCTATTTCAGTCAAAGCACTGTTAATCTATGAGTACATGACTGTACATTGAGATAAACCATGGTCTATCTTCCTATTAGTGCTCACTCCAAGCCTCATAACAAAAAGGTGGTCTTCATCTCAGTCTCTTAATCATTATGTTGCCATAAGTCCACAGTTCCTTTGAAGCAAAGATCCCATTTCTAAATTTTGGGACAATTACTCGGCCAGTCATCCTTGCAAGGAAAGATCCAGGGACAAGAAGTCCATTTTTCAGTCTTTTTGATCCTCAGTCTAATTAATATCAAAGCTTTTTTTCACATCCTGCTGTATCTTAAAAACAAATAACAGCCCTCTCCCTAATAGGGGACTTTGTTTTGAATAAGTGTCCTCCCTTGAGGTTCCAAAAGTAAATAATTGATAATTGCAATAACGTCATTAAAAAGGAAAAATTCCTTGTATAATCATTATGGGCAACCCCCTATTTTTCACTTACATATTTAACTTAATTAGAATTTATTATTTGCAAAAGCCGGCTCTGTGGGTACCACCAACTCAGATTGTCGAGCCCAATTCCACTCCCTTATTTTCCAAACTAGGAATTTTAGATATTTTTGAAGTCAGTAAGTTTGAATTGCCAAATTCATGTTTTATTATGAAAATGACCTATTGCCCCCATTACTTCTCAACCTTTTGGTAACAAATAGCCATATTCACTGCTATAGTATCAGGACAACCAATAATTATTGAACTCATTTGTGTCATACAAATCTCAGGCAATTTGCAATTTTCTACCAAGGTATTAAAATCTGGATTACTCTGTTCCTGTTTCAGTCACTTGTTTGTCAAATCTTCGTAAATTTGAACTGAAAATGCAAAAGTTTTTAATTAAGTAGTCACTCATTTGGCCAAGCCACACATTTGCAGGACTTATTCTTTTTTAAATATATTGTTGTAGCTGAAATGGCCTCTCCTATAAGGCTGGTGGCTTCCTGGGTCTCCTTGCCTTCTATAAATTATAATGCTGTAGATAATTGCTTTTTTGTATTGTCAAACATACAAATAAATGATGCTGATGATGAAGCAAATCCCATTTTTGGCTAGAACAGCTCCAAATCTTTATCACTGATGCAACTGTTGATTAAAAATTAAGTAATTTATAGATCAATTTACATATTAGACTTAATTCCATATTTTAGCATAAGTTTGCTAACTATTAAGATCTTTAAAAAGGTGATTATTTTTCCTGTTAATGAAACAATACAGTTTTTGTTGATGGGCATAATTATGTTTTGGGCCAACTTAGGCCAAGCCATCAGGTAAGGGTTAAAATGACTCTGAGAACAGCCTAAAACATATAAATCATATGCCTAAGAGCATAAACTGTATTACTATTCATTATTGATTTGGAGGGTACTGAGCAAATAAAAACTGAAAAAAAAAAAATAAAACAACCTGCACAAAACAACCTGCACAATCATGTGAGCGTGCATGAAGCCAAAAACCATTTAAACCCCAAATGTGCCATGATGTCCAACAATGCGATAATAAGTTTTATTTTTATTTTTTTTACTTTTTTCCTTGAGACAATTACAGTTGCATATTTGAAGTAAGACAGTCACATTTGCCAGTGGTCTAAATGTATCAGGAAATGGTAGCTTGTAAACTTTGAATGATAAGCCTTTTTTCTTCCTTTATTTGCCAACAGATTTTGCACCCAACATAATATTTTTAAAGTCTTTAGAGGAATCAGGAACTGTTAAGGAGAAAGATAAGTTGTCAATGCGTTGTCAAGCACGCAGCTTCCCATTGTCTAACATCACTTGGATTCATAATGGAGCAAAAATGTCAGTGTGTTTAATAACTAGAAGTCAGGATTGCATGGGGAAAAGTTACAAAGTGCTGCAAGATACCAATAAGCAGTGGCTTACCTCAATTAGCCAACTTATTATAGAGAGTACAAGTTTTCCAAGAGATAATGGGACTTACACCTGTGTAGCAAGGAACAGCAAGAGTTACGATGAAAAAAACCTGGAAATTTCCATTGAGAGTATGTGTTATAAAAATCATATGTAGTTTTTTATGGTTAAATGGATGATTTCTTTTAGTTGATATAACCTTTTGCTGTCAACCCCACTAAGAATTACCATGCAATTGCAAACTGACCTATTTTTTTCAGAGTTCTAGCTTGTTTTGGGCTTGGGAAGCCAGGTACCTCTGTAGTAGTAGAGATTTGACTGTTACTGTAACTTTTGACATACTGAGTCCATCATTAAAGCATACAAACAGCAAATGGAAGGGTCAATTTTCAGATGATATAGCTGTCTATAGGCCATTTAAAAATTTCATTTTGAGAGCTGTGTGATTGTTATAATTCAGCATAGTTACACTGTAGATACTTAATGATAATTTGTTATTTTCTTTAGCTGTACCCACTTTGGATAAGTCGAAGTCATTCTGGACAAGTAGAAGAATCTACTGTGAGATCAGCCAATCCAATCCATTGCCAACTTTCAAATGGCAGCATCAAAATGGCCCGTGTTTGAACTTCAATCCAGAATGTTACCCAGACAACAGCAACTGGAAAGACCTTCCCACTAGCTTTGTCATTTCCCCACCTAGTGGCGATGCCACTTACAGGAGCACTGTTGACATTCCGCTAGACACTCCGTCAGGATTTTTAAGATGTTTGGCAGCCAACACAGGAGGAAGTGATGAAAATATGATGCGATTCTTTGCTAGTGGTGAGTTATGAGTGATAATTATTACTGTAGAAGGTGATGAAATGCTACTTAATTAAATGCATCATACCGTATCCATACTTCTACCATATTTTGGCATTATTGATAATAAATAAATCTGCAAAATGATTAATTTTTGAGAGTAAGGGTTTTTTGGGATGAAAAGTGTTGAATTGGGTCTGGAAAAAGTATGCAACAAATCTAGCTTTTCTTTCACTTTTTCAGATTAAATGACTTCAAAATGTTACATTTTTTTACTGAAATTGATGTTAGTGAGTCGAACTGAATGCTTAGTAATAACTTAGCCACATGTATTGCTGAATTTTGAGAGCTCTCATCACCCAAACTGATAACAAACTCTTGTAGATTGTTTCTTGCACTATAGTAGAATGTCTATTACTATGATGACAATTACACTGGCGATGAGTTAATCTACAATTTGAGACTGAACTATATAGGAAAAGTATTGGATATTGCATAAAAATGCATGAATTAAATAACAAAAAATTTGTGTGAACTACATGTTCTCTCCGTAGGTATGGATTCTGTCAGAATCACAACAGCAACAAAAGAGTATGATGAAGATGATACTTTAAGTATGAGATGTGTTAGGATTTGCAGAGGTAAAATGACTGGTTGGTACAAAGATGGTAGACAGCTGTTGGCGGCTACTGATCCAAGAATCAATGTAACATTCGGGACTGAGAGTGACTTGACATGGACAAATCTAGTGGTGGAAAAACTTACTGTCAATGATTCTGGAGTGTACATTTGTGCAGCTACTGACTGTCAAAGTAAACCTTTGAATGTGTCGAGGGATATCAAAGTCAACAGTAAGTAATCAGTTTGTCTGTGAGTACCATAAAACCAAACCTTCCCTGTTTACTGTGTTCCTGTGATAATACCATTGTGTTATGATGATATTATCATGGGAATATTTCATGTCTCATCCATATTATTTTTAGATAACACCCCACTAACTAATAAGTTTCTTACCAACTGTTTGGTGGGTATTGTGTTGACATGACATTGTCAGGAGAATTTTTATGCGTAAAATCATTCTCCAGAGATGAAGGGTTAAAACAGAAGAGGCTGTACAGGTGCAGCAATTTTTGCTATTACAAACCCTTACACTCCCAAGATCTCATTGGTAAATTTCTCCCTGCTGTCTGCTATACAATTCTTATGATGTTAGTTTGGAGAATTTGGTGTTGAGTCCACTAATAACGCCCTAATTGATTTTTTTATTCCCATCATTTCCCTTCTTGATATTGTATTGATATTGGAAGGAGTAATTATGTCTTGGTCACTCATGGGAATTCAAGTGTTAACAGCAACTTGCTCCAGCAGTGGAATCCTCCCTTAGAAACAGTACAGTTAATGGTTTTGCTCACCCATGTTGCAGATTTGTGTATTTCAGTTGCTTACACCATTTGCTTTGTTCTCTTTTCAGAGGTTTTTCCACCAAGTATACTCAACTTTGAAAATCAGACAGCTTATCATCAAATTAGCTCTGAATTATTTTGTAATGTTTCTGCTCATCCGATGCCAAGTCAGGTACAGTGGTTTAGAGGCAGTCAGCCCCTTAGAAATCAAATTGAAGTCATGGACAGACTATTACCCTCGGCCTGTAAAACTCGTTCTCCTGGTTTCTATCGAGTAAATGGTGTTGTTGGGAAACTCATCATTTGTAAGCCTGCAGACACTCTTCATACAGGGTTCTACACTTGTAAAGCGGCAAATAGGAAAGGGGAAAGTAACGCTACTGCCTTTCTTAATGTACTGGGTAAGTGAACGGAGAGCCCAATGAGCAATGGAGTCGGATATTGTTGTTATTTCGTGACTCGCTCGCAATGGGAGAAGTTAGACAACCAGTAACAGATTGTTTTCGTAGTTAGTGTGAAATTTCAGTAAATATTCAGTTGTGCCGCTGACATTTTATACTTGACAAGTTATTACTAAAAATCTATCTTTGAACTGATCAGTTGAATGTTGAAAAGTATTCTGAGTGAAAGAGGAAAGGGATGGGTGGAGAAGGGAGGGGAGAGCAGGGATGGGATTGGAAGGGACGGAAGAAGAAGGGGGGGACAGTACGAGAAGGGAGGGGAGAGAAGGGATGGGATTGGAAGGGACGGAAGGAGAAGGGAGGGGACAGTATGAGAAGGGAGGGGAGAGAAGGGGAGCAAAGAGAACTGAAAGGAGAAGGGATCGAAAGGGAGGAAAGTGAAGGGAAGGGGCCGGGTGGAGAAGGGAGGGGAGAGCAGGGAAGGGATGGAAGGATAGGGGAGGGGACAGGAGGAGAAGAGGGGTAGAGAAGGGGAGCAGGAGCTGAAAGGAGAAGGGATCGAAAGGGAAGAGAGGAAAGGGAAGGGGTTGGGTGAAGAAGGGAGGGGAGAGCAGGGAAAGGAGTGAAAGGGACGAGAGAAGAAGGGGTGGAGAGAAAGGGAGGGAAGGAGCTGGAAGGGAAAGGGAGGGAAGGGAGGTTTAAAGAAGGAAAGGACTTCAAGAGATCACAGGGCTTCTGAACTGCTTTACTCGTCAAGAGTTAATGCCATTTATGCGTGAAACATTTTTAATTTCAGAGAACCCTGTGATTATACGTCCAGCCAATGGAAGTCGTTCGGTTGAACTAGGGGAGCCATGGAATAGTACGTGCGTAGTCACTGGCAACCCTGTGCCAAAAGTAGAATGGAAAAGAGTGGATGGAAATTTAGTATTCACTCAAAAACAGTACAACAACGAGGAGGTGGTGTTAATGTTGGAGTCTGTCAGTAAAAAGGATCTCGGAATGTACTTGTGTGTAGCCGTTAATTCAAAAGGAATTGCAGTTGCATTCGTCGAATTGGGTAGGTTGACGAAGTTAGCTAAGTTTCAGGTTAATTATTACAAGTTCGAAATCATAGAAAACTCGCGTGAGCGTGACCTTGTAACAGGTTCAGGCACGAGTAGTGATTTATAAAAACTGAGAGTTAAAATCTTCAAAACTTAATCGTCAGAATTACTTTCTAGCACCATGACTGAGAAAACGGTTGGACTTAAGATCGCTGCTACGGTCCCTCTAAATGATAATCTCCCTTTAACAAACATGATGAATATGTTTCACTTCCTTTCCTCTTAGCAGAGGCAGACAACCCCCAACCGAGCACGGCTCCAGAAGGATCAAGCAGAAAGATGCTCATCGCTCTCAGTGTTGTTGGAGTGCTTCTCTTTGTCCTTCTTATCGTCATCTTAGTCTGTTATGTATTTTTTCGCCGCCAGCGTCAGAAGATTAAAGAATATCAGAGTCAGTTTTTCCCTGTGACTTTTGAACACGCTATGGTACGGTACTGTTGTTTTATTCAATTGTTTGTTTGTTTGTTTGTTTGTTTTTGCGTATTCCTAAGTTATGGCAATCTTGAAAATACACGTTGTACAGGGTCGTGAACGCGTGAAATCTGTTCTTTTCCCTAGACAGGTGTGCTAGTTTTATATTATTTGTAGAAATTGCCAAATTCAACTGGATGGTCACGGGAAACAGGTGCAACGGGTTGCAATCTTGGGGGTGGGGGGCAAGGTATAAACACAAACCGGAACGTTAAGTGCCACGAACCATTGCGTGGAATGACGTTCAAACCTTACTAAGCGCAAGAACTATGCAATTGGGTAGACTGGGACCTAGTACAAGGGACCGATCTGCCGCTGCAGTGCGAGAAATTGTTTAATTGGTAGAAAGAAACTGATAGCAACCACAGAATAACTTGCTACTGTTGCGAAATTTCTTTGAGAGGTTTTCAATTCTTGTTCACTTGTTGGTAAATTGTTTTCAGATTGATCCCGCCCGACCTCTTCAGTATCAGTGTGAAAATCTTTCATACGATCCAGATTGGGAGTTTCCGGAGGAAAGGCTCACTCTCGGGAAGGTGCTGGGATCAGGGGCCTTCGGTGAGGTCATTAAAGCAGAGGCCATTGGAATTGCGGACTTTCATCCCCGCGACAAAAGTTCTGAGAAAGTAAAACGTCGGTCCAAAATACTACGTCGCATTAGTAGCAGCAGGGTGTATCAGGATTCTAGCGGAATTCCTTACGTGAAGACAACTGTTGCAGTCAAGACGCTGAAGAGTAAATATCATTTGCCATGATTCAAATAAGCCTCTTGCATAGCCTTGTCACATGACCATGTCGATCATCGCATAATGGTCGAGGTATAGATTAGATTCTGGGATGGAAAGGGCGTGATAAAAGTATCCGTCCAGTTTCGACGCAACTGGCATTTTAGTGTGAGATCTTTTGACGGTTAAAAAATGGCAACAGATTTGTTCGTTGAAGGTTAATTTTGCCATCCAGCGGGCGATAACTTTTGAAGCGAGATAACCAATAAATCCTCACCGAAATACCTTTAAAAGTATTAGATAGGGTTGTCTGTGGCCAATTTTGACTTGGTGTCTCTGTCTGTATTGTAGGTAACGCCAAGAAAGAGGACTTCGCTGACCTCGCCTCTGAGCTGAAGATTCTTATACATGTCGGAGAGCACATGAATATTGTTAACCTATTAGGGGCTTGTACAAAAGGCGATCGCTTGTTCATCATCATGGAATATGCACCACATGGAAACTTGTTAATGTTCCTACGAAACAAGCGAGAAATTTACGAGCCCACCTGGATAACTACAACGAATAACCCAGAAAATGAACTAACGATCAAGAATTTGGTAGTTTTTGCTTACCAGATAGCACGTGGAATGGAGTTTTTAACTTCAAAACAGGTATGGATACATTTGGTTTTGAATCGATTGTTAGGTACGTTTGTTTTGTGCCAGGGGTTCTCTATAAAGAAATTTTAAATATCCACATCACTAGTAAACAAAGTTATGTTATAACTGAGAAAAGGAGAGATCGAGAGATATCGACTTTTTCGTTAGGATCGAGTCCTGTGGAGTGGAGAACGACTTAGGGAGAAGGGAAAAACTCGATAGGATATTCAATATTTTCTTGAAAAGTGATTGCTGAATTTTTTAGCTGATTCGCTTTTTGAAGGCCCTCAGTTTGTGCAAATCACTGTAAGTCAGTGGCAGACAGGTGAAGAGAGAAGGAAACGAGCAATTCGGAAAAACAAAAAACAAAAAACCAGACAACTAATGAGGAAGTGGAGTTTTAAAGGGGACATACAAAAGAGTAACAATCTGACATCTTGATATCTTAAGTCTTTTTTCTGCTTTTGGTTTGTAAAAATTTTATTGTAGTTACTCAAAAAACCAAGAAGTTGTGGAACGTTATCTTCCTTTTTTTCGTTTAATTGTGGATGTATTTTTAGTGTATTCACAGAGACTTAGCAGCAAGGAATGTTCTCGTCGGAGAAGATTACGTCATGAAAGTCGCTGACTTTGGTTTAGCTCGAAATATTTACAAAAGCGATATGTACGTGAAACAAACTCAAGGAGTTCTGCCCATCAAGTGGATGGCGATAGAATCATTGTTCGACAGAGTTTACACTGAAAAAAGTGATGTGTAAGTTCTCGTAAATTTTCTTTTATCCTAAGATTTCTCTGACTGTTCTGCTGAGATGTTGGCCAAACGAATTGTTATCGATTATCGGAATGAAAAATAGGAAGTAAGTTTAGCAAAGTTGTAAGGAAGCCCTTCTCGCACCAATTTGTTTCAGGTTCGTCGTCGTTTTTGTAAGTTGAGTGGCTTCTGACTCAAGGATCAATCTCTTGTTTCTTTCGATATTCTGCCGCCCATACAAGGCATCACTTGACGTGTAAACTGCAATTCTCTTTAAGACAGTCTCCTTTCGATTTTAGAATATTATGAAAGTTTATTTTCGTCCAGGTGAAAATGGTGCTTGTATATTTGATGTGAAACCTCTACGTACAGTCACGTAATTGCTAATTCTTTTCTTTGATCCTTGCAGATGGTCATTTGGTATTTGCCTGTGGGAGATCTTCACGCTCGGGGGAACACCTTACCCCACCCAATCTGCGGAAGAAGTTATGGACATGCTCAGTGACGGTGAGCGGATGGAGCAGCCGCACAACTGTCCTTTGGACATGTACGTTATTATGAGGGACTGTTGGGAACAAAATCCTGATCAGCGGCCTACATTCTTACAGCTCAGTGAACGAATCGGAAGGATACTAGAGTTACACACTTCAAAGGTGAAGCCGTTAGTCTTTGTCTAAATCTGTATGTTGAGTTGGCTTTTAAGTTAGAGACGTTTTCACTATCCGCCGACACTCTTCGGAGAGGTTTTTATAAGCTGGGTACGTCAAAAGAATTGTCAATCATTCGCCTTGATTTTTAACAAACCAGACACTAAGCTACCTCGAGCAACATCAACCACTGAGCTTGACACAAAGGATTTCCATTATTTTTGGCCCAATAGGTAGGATTACGAGAATGTCCTGTAATTAAGGTTTCCTCTATTGTATTCCTTTGAAAATGTTCCTTTTCCTCCACAGCAAACTAACTCGGCATACGTAAGTATCACAGGAGACAACCGACCTGCCAATGATTATTACGTCACACCCTATAATACAGAATCCAACTTTCCGCAAACAAGTTTAGCTGGCTTAAACAGGTTAGCTTTCAGTCCGATTGGTATTTTATATTTTCCTACAAATGTACTCCAAGTGCAAAGTTGTTAAGTTAAAATTATGATGAAGCTTGATTCATTAGGGATATGTCGTGGCATTTGATGAGATCCTCCCTCTATGCTGCCCAGCTGGGACCCACTACCCCTAGGAAATAGAATGCAATTTGTAAGACCTTGATGTTATTTCAAGGGCTCTGATATAATATGTTGGAAATGGAACATACCTTGGATTTTCACAAAAATCGCGCTCGTGACTAATTATGACAATGATAATTAATGCATAGACGAAAAGTGAGTAACGCAAACCCTGATGGTGATAACACTGACTTGCCGTTTTTCTTGAAGAAAGAAAACGTTACCTGGGAAGGTTTACGCCACAAGAAACCCTTAAACTTTGTCTCGACCAAGAAACACATAAAGCCAAGTACTTTTAATCTAAATGCGGTATCTTATTTTAGACAAACGAGTGACGATGTTGAGTCCAGTCCCTCTCTCCCGTTGTCTCGAGACATGGATACCGAGCAGGAACTGGATCAAGACGAAAGATATAGAATGGTGGATCTAGGGGCCGGTGGAAGCCTGTCAGGGAACGAGAGCGGAATAAGTTTGGAGGAGGGCAACGACGAAGCTTCTGCAGTAGCAGAATTAAGGCCTCTTCGTGTTTCTGCTATACCTACCTCAAAAGTAACCGCTAAAGCAAAACTTAAGTCAAATTCTAAAGAAACTGAAATATAACAAGAAGCAAAGCTGTTCCAAATTCATAGGCGCTTGCCCAACCTCTAAACTACAGCAACCTTATCGGTGGATCTCCCCATTTTAGGTGTAAAACATGTTTCCGTAGGTAAGTGAAACGAATGCGATGTATTTTTTACATGGTAAACACCTTCCAGCTGATATGTTTGCTTCGTCGCATCGCTTTACAGTGTTTTTCTCTCTAACGTATTGTTATTTTAAAGTGTAGTTACTTTTTGGAGTGTCAGGGTATTTAGCAGCGAGATAAAATTTCGCCTTTTAACAGTGAGGAATGCTTCTGGGAATATTTACAAAATGCATTGTATGATCTCGACACAAGAGGGATGGAGGGAAAATTTGCCATCGCTTTATCGCTTTTTAGGCCTCGGGTAGCCATTGTATTGGGTCTCTTGTTCAGATTTTAGACCAAGAAGGAATTTTAACCATTCTGTATAGTAATCGTACAAGTTTAATTCTTCTTAACGTTGAACATAAATACATCAGAAGTACGCTTTTTTTAAAAAAAGTTACGAATAGAGATTTTTTTTTCAATTTACGCGGATGTACTGCGTATAACAACATTAAGCTGATTGAAGCATTTTTGAAAGAAGTAAAAAGCGTATGTCAAATGGTGGTAAATTTTTATGACCTCGTTTTGGCGCTCACCAGAGCCTCTTGCCAGATTTCGTCACAGTGCCTGATTGAAATAGCGTTTCCAGACCTTCCTTTACGCCGTTCGTAGAGCACGTTCCTGAAACTCTAAAAAAGAAACCTGAACGTTTCTCTTTTCTAAGTGTGACGATTCTATATGCAAACGACACTCATTATAGGGCCGCAGTCGAGTACTTCCCGTAAAGCCAGGGACTGAGTTGATTTCCCCTGAAAGTGCTGTGGAGATGAGGAAATTTAATCGGGGACAAACCTGCTTCCATTAAAACACTCCTTACAGGGATTTGAATTGAAAGCCTTTTTATTATCAGATATTTAATTAGTTGCTTGCGCCTAAATATACCTATACAATGAAAATGTTACTAATCTCATTTGATATACATTTCTAGAGAGGACGTTGTTTAAAAGTGCCATCTACGTATTTTTTTAACATTCTGTTAGAAAATCGCTCAAGTTTAACATTTCAGATTTGGTCTGAATGCGACATGTTTATACAGCGGAATTCAAAAGTTAATTTCGAATAAATAACTTGACATGATATGAGCCAAACGTAGCTTTGTTGCATTTATGAATGAAACTAGGAAAAGCTGAACAACATTTCGCTGACCACACGCGCGACTACTATCAACTGCTAATGATAAACATATCGTAACTTTACACAGAGAAATGAAAGCAAGCAATTTCACACTTTGTTTCGATGGATATCGTTACTTCACTTTGCATTTTATAATGGTCACATGTCACTGAAAATTTATATCAGAATAGCTCATTTCCTTTCTAAAATTAGTTTTCTAAAATCTTTCACCATTACGAGGTTCACTTAGATAATACTTACAAAGCAGAAAAGTAACAAAAATTCAATTCGAAGATTGAATCTACATTATTTCTTCAAAAATATACCCATTCATTTAAAGATATACAGAGCGTAATTAGTGTACATTAATTCCTTGAGTAAGATTAACAGTAGTCATATGAGTTTCACAAGACTTGTCTCAAATATAGGAACTCTAAGAGAAAGTTATCTCAGAAAAGAGCTTAGCAAACGAGTGACAAACCAGTCATTTCTAGCTCCAAAGGAGAGCAAATGACACCCTCTTAATAAAAAAACAAAAATAAATAGTGTAAGCAGTAAATCGAATCGTTACTGAGTTTTGTTACATCATCTGTCACGTTGGGCGACAGGCTTAACTTAAAAGATGAACTGAGTGGAGCTTACTTTCCCTTTCGATGTAGCATGTGTATCTTTGGCAATGGCTGTTTAAATAGTGTCTATACACAAAGGTCGAATGATCCTTAACTGTGCGGTTATTTCGTACAGCTGCAACTCACTTATTGTTCTGAATTTCGACAACTTCAAAATTTGAAGGAGTGGAATTGAAATTCTCAAAGTGCTGTTTCGATCTTACGTCTATTTCCTTTCTGCAAAACGTCAGTTTCTGGGATCTTTTCCACAGGGGAAAGGAAGGGGGTATCCCCTCGTATGTCGTCAATGTAATCACCATCGTCCAATCCATCCACGTCAATACCGCTCTCTCCTGCTGCACTGTTCGTCCTCCCACCTCTCATTGGCCGGGACTCATCTTCGTCGCTCAAAGCTTCTTCATACGAGGGAGGGATGGAAGGCAGGGGTGCGTTTTTGATTTCGTCGTCGCTCATCACGTCTAGACCTGGTGGTAAAGCAGGTAACGGGGAATCGTACCTGAAGATGAACAGAAAGATTCCATGGTTAAAAAAGGTTAATACATTCTCTCCCAAACACGGTGACCCCAGTTTTCCCACGGAAAGTGTTTAAACATGGGGAGCAGAGGGTTGGGAGAATTTCGCGTCTGATTTGACTAACGTGGAAAGAAGGATGAGCGACAGAAAGCAAAGGTCATTCGACGAATACTGTCGATAAATTCGTAGTCTTGGTGATTTCTCTTGACTTACCCCATTCCAGCTCCTTCCGGGGTCGTATTCGGCGGAAGTTCGCCTGTCGGAGAGCTTATTGGTGACTCTACATATCGCTTGGAATCTCGCAGACCTGAATCACACGGCTGCAGATAATACCCCTGACTTTCAACACCCTCATCATCGTCCAACTCAAGCGCAAGGTAAGGGTTCTCCTGATGGAGGAAGGACAGAATAATCACGACTACATTCGAAAGAAGAATATTTACGGCAATTAAACGTTCAGTTATGGAGCAACCATTTGAAAATGTTCTTTATGAGGAAGGCCCCTGCATAACTGGGTGAAAGACTGCTAAAAATAGCTTGTCTCTAGTTGTCCGTCAGACGAGACGAGAGAAAAATCGAAACAAAATCAGGCTTGGGGTGTGGCAAAGGCTTCGTGAAGAATTGAGATCCTTGCTAACTTTTTTCAAAAACAGTCGCCAGTAAAAGATACATGTCATAAAATAAAAATATGTCATAGCAGTCTATACCGTTGTCATGTGCCTTTCCAAGATTTTTCCCAGTCGCTCGTTCAAGGTAGCGAAGTGTGGCCTTTGTTCAGGGTCGTGAAGCCAGCAGTCCCTCATGACGGTGTACACTTCCAGTGGACACTTGGCTGGATTATCCATCCGCTTCCCTTCACTTAGGTAATCAAGAAGCTGTTCTGTGGGGAGACCGGGGTAGGGGGTACCTCCAAGGGTAAATGTTTCCCACATCAGAATACCAAAAGACCACCTAGAGATTAGACAAATTAGTTAAAATTAAAATTTAGACATATTCTCTATACGAGACAGTCGCGGACGATCAAAATGAAATTACTTTTCATTCCCCAAAATAACTTCTCGGAGCTCTTGATAGGGGGTGTGCAGTCCAGTTGTATAAATTCGAAGGTTATTTCACGCTAAATCTCCCATACCAGTATCACAAATCTAAACTGTTTTCAATTGGTGCGACTATTGCAGCAACGGAACGTCAACAATATAATTACGTACATAAAAGCGTACAGCTTTGAGAGCAGCAAAACTTACACGTCCGTTTTCTCAGTGTAAACTCTGTCGAACAGAGACTCCGGAGCCATCCACTTTACTGGCAGTAATCCTTGCGTCTTCTTCACATAAAGATCATCTTTGTAAATGTCTCTAGCAAGACCAAAGTCTGCAATCTTCATTACATAGTCTTCACCCACCAAGATGTTCCTTGCGGCCAAGTCGCGGTGCACACACTGGAGAGGGATTTATTACTGATGTCAGTATAGTCTTAACACTGCAAATTTGACTTCTCTCATTGTGGTATTTCTATGGTGCTCAAAGTTCAAATCAAGAGGAGTTTCCTAGCATGGAAATAACGCTTAAAGGAGGAGCTCCTGGTTGCCAGGCAAGTTCCAAAAACAATTCAATCAGCTCATAGACTTTTCCAATTAATTCTTGGAATACAGAATGTCCGCGCTGCAAACTAAGGCAAAACAATTTAGTGTGGCAGATCACAAATGAAGTGAAAAAAAAGAAAAACAAAAAAACAAAAAAAACTTGCCTTCCTTGAAGCCAAGAATGCCATTCCTCTGCTGACCTGATAACTGATCATTACGAGATCGACAAGCGTAAATTCTTTATTCGGGTCATTGGTGGTCTTCGTCCAGTCTGGCTCATAAATATCCCTTTTACCTCGAAGGAAAGACAGTAAGCTGCCGTTGGGAGCGAATTCCATAATCACCATGAGTCGCTTTCCACGCGTACAAGCTCCAAGAAGATTCACTATGTTTTTGTGTTGTCCAAGATGGATAAGGATCTTGAGTTCTGAGGCTAAATCTTTGTATTCTGATTCACTTGCACCCTCTGGAAAAAAAAAAAATGAAGATAGAACACTGATTAAAATGCATACAAGAATATTGACGATGATAATGACAACAGCAATGACGATAACGACAAGTATGTTAAAAAAATTCCAAAATTTCACGAAAACAATCTCTAATTAACTTTCTAGTAGAACGAGGTTTGCCGCATGAAAAAAATGAAAAAGGGAAAAAATCAGTGAAGGCATTATGATATTAAGCTTAACCCTTTACAATTGAAATTAATATTCATATTCTCCAGATTGTTCTCTTTACATCTTCTATGGTGCTACCGAGGAGAATTTGATGACAATCAGGAGCTTCCGGAATTGGTGATCTTTTCCTTATTCTCATTACCTTTATATTTTATTCAAGGGTGATACTGTAGGGAGAAATAAGAAACCAGTCACTCTTTGGGGTTTGATTGGTATATCAAGCTGCTTTCCACTGACCTTTCAAGGTTTTCACTGCTACAGGGATCCTCGTGTTTTTCCATCCGGGGCCTTCTTCTTTCTTCAGATCTTTGACCCGCGAGGACCTGCGTATTTTCGAGCGTCGCTTGAATGACTCGGCGCTCTTATCACGTGGTTCAAAGGCCAGGATGCCGATAGCTTCTGCCTTAATGACCTGACCAAAGGCCCCAGCACCCAGCAAATCTCCGAGAATAAGTCTCTCCTCGGGGAATTCCCAGTCTGGGTCATATGGCAGATCGCTGCACTGCTCCAGGAGGCTGCGGTCGGGGTCGATCTAAACACAAAAATGTTTTCATAAGTAACGATAGTATTTACAAACATACAAACAAACTCTTGCCTATCCAGCAATAGTTAACTTACCACTTTAAAAGGGAACAGGTACTGTAACTTGAACAACAAGCATCACCCCACATTTACTATGACAAATAAACATCGCTATGTTCATGATGTTTAGTAGGAAACAGGTGATGAGAACAAACCCCCTTCGCAGCTTAGAAGCATTATCTACCGTAGTTATTCGGTTATAAGGCGCACTCGGCTATAAGACGCACCCCCAATTCGGCAACTTCATTATTGCATGTTTTCAAACTGAGAAAATCGCTAAAATACTTGGTTATAAGGCGCACCGTTGTTTGGGGAGTAAAGATCGGTCAACTTTATTGTAAATTCTTTCATAAACTTACAAAAAAGCGAAAAAGTCGCGTATTGATTTTAGTTTACCGTTAATCAACAAAAGCAGAATTGTCGCACACGCGACCACGCACACAAACAAAAGCCTTGGTTAAACAAGATGTACCGCCGAGAATGCAGGTCTCAGTGCACTAAAAAGGCTGAAAGGATGAAGAAGGTATTTACTTCTTCGCTTGTTTATTTTCGTTTCGTTTTGTGACGTATCAAATTACTAAGCACGTGCTCTCGAGCACGTATCACATCTATGCAAATTTGACTTCGCTTGTCTTTCAGAACCACCATATTCATAAAAGTCAATGTGTGTGTGTCATTTTATTTGCTTGAAATCGTACCAGTAACTGTGATAAAAAAAATTTGTTTCGGGAAAATATTCGCCTATAAGACGCACCCAAACTTTGGCGGTAATTTTTAGTAGAAATTAGGAATTTCTTGAAAAAAACGGTGCGCCTTATAACCGAAGTACTACGGTGGATTAAAAAACAATTTCTCAAATGATTTCACAAGAAATCCTCTGCAACTAAAAAGGAGAACTAATAATCAGATCCTGGAAGTTTCAGATTACCTGGTAGTCTGAGCTTCGTAGGAAGTAAATCTCCTTGTATTCGTCAATCTGTCTCTTTTGTCTGCGATACACCACACAACATATTACTAGTACAAGAAGAACCAAGACACCCACACCAATGGCAATTCCAACCAAGGCACCAGTACTCAGTGGAGACCCTCCAGCTCTTGTAACAGGAGTGGAAACTTCACAAGGCAAAAAAAAAAAGACAAAAATATAAATACATGCACCTAAACACTGTACAATGGAAGTGCTCTCTTTACCTTTAGAGGTTCTAATAAACAAAAGAACCAAACAAGAAACAGCAAAGAACAAACAAATATCAAATACTATACTTCTAAATTTTAGACTGCAGCACTTGATCAAGACATTAAGTATTACTTGGCTGCATATCTTGGTTGAACATGTATTTTCTCCCCC